TTGAACCCACCACCCTCAGTGTATGTGGCTGACACCATAACCACTGTGCTACAGGCGCCAAGCCTCTTTTTGGTTTTTGAGATAGTTTCATTCTGCTCACCAGGCTAGAGCGCCATGGTGTCAGCCTAGCTCACAGCAACCTCAAACTCCTGGGCTCAAATGATCCTCCTGACTCATCCTACTGAGTACCTGGGACTGCAGGTGCTTGCCATGATGCCCGGCTAATTTTTTTCTATTTTTAATGGAGAGAGGGTCTTTATTGTTTTTCTTTTTTTCGATTTTTTAAATTTACCTTTTCCTTTATTTCCTTTGTTTTATTTATTTTTATTTACTTTATTTTTCCAGAAATGAGATGTGTATATGCAGTAGAGACAGGGTCTTGGTCTTGCTGAGGTTTGTCTTGAACTCCTGAGCTCAAGCACTCTCCCATCTCAGCCTCCTGTGGAGTGCTAGGATTACAGGCACGAACCACTGTGCCTGGCTCACAAATGTGACTTTATCTTGAGTATTATCTTTAATATCTTCTGCTTGTGGTATGAATTTTATTTCCTCGGGTGCTAGTTTTTCTGCTTATGTTTGTTGCTGAGAGGCAGCCATGGATCAGTTGTACAGATCATGCACTCTGAAGCCAGCCTCCTTAATCCAGTTGCTGAGCCTTCATCTGTTCATCTGTGCAATAATAATAATAATCTGAGATAATAACCTATTTCGGGGGTTTATAAACATTGTTTTCTTAAGGGCCAGAGAAGGAAATATTTTAGACTTTGTTGGTCAAGAGTCAAAATGTAGGGAAACACAGAATAATTGCCATAGGTTTTTTACAGACAAAACTTTAAATGTAATAATCATGGAGCACAATTTTTATAATGTAGTTTATTAATGAGAAGAATGACTGCCATTTTGCTTAATCAGGGTTCAGAGTGAGGGTGTCCAGTCATCAAAATTGATTGCAAAAGTGCATCTGTTATTGCTGCTTGAGTGCAAAAGAGCAAATGAAGTTTACAACTGAAGCTCTGACGGATTCAGTAGATTGACTGCTGGTGATAAATTCAAATATTTCCCACAGAGTGCTTCCTGATGAATGATACAATGAAAACCACAGACTTTAAATACCACGTTTTCATGAGCTTTGTAGATTTGTCCACCTAAGCTTTTTTCTGCTCCACACATACTTTCATCACATGTTAGCAGATTCTTCTTCATGTGTTGTTGGATTCATTTTCTCAACAATGGAAATGTTCTTTCCTGCAGCTGTCCCTGCAGTCTGCACACACTGGCTGACTCTTCAGTTGCTTTTCAACTCGTCATTGAGACAGTGACCCTCAGTTGAGCACTGACTGGGTCATTCATCATGAGCCAAGGAAAATGACTTCAAATCATTCTTTTTTTTTTTTTTTTTTT